TCCCAGCCATGGCAAGAAACCACCAAGTGCAGAAGGCCAAGCTGGCCGAGCAAGCTGAGCGCTACGAGGACATGGCAGACTTCATGAAGGCGGTGGTGGAACACGGGGATGAGCTGTCCAACGAGGAACGCAACCTCCTCTCCGTCGCCTACAAGAACGTGGTGGGCTGCCAGCGCTCGGCCTGGAGGGTCATCTCCAGCATCGAGCACAAAACCGAAGAGGGAGATGACAAAGCGCAGCTGGTGAACGAGTACCGGGAGAAGGTGGAGCGGGAGCTGAACGGCGTCTGCAAGAACGTCCTGGCCTTGCTGGACAAGTATCTCATCAAGAAGGCGAGCGATCCCGAGAGCAAGGTGTTCTACCTGAAGATGAAGGGCGACTACTTCCGATACCTGGCTGAGGTGGCCACCGGGGACGACCGCAAGAAGACGATAGACAACGCCCAGGAAGCTTACCAAGAGGCCATGGACATCAGCAAAAAGGAGATGCAGCCCACGAACCCCATCCGCCTGGGGCTGGCCCTCAACTTCTCCGTCTTCCACTACGAGATCGCCAACGCCCCCGAGCAGGCCATCTCCCTGGCCAAGACCACCTTCGACGAGGCCATGGGAGACCTGCACACGCTCAGCGAAGACTCCTACAAGGACAGCACCCTCATCATGCAGCTGCTCAGGGACAACCTCACGCTATGGACAGCCGAGTGCGCCGGGGAAGACGGCGGCGAGAAGAACTGAACGGCCTCCCCGGAGCCGGGGACCGACCCCCAGCTGCTCCCTCTCCAGTCCCTTCAGCATCTCTTCATGTTTTTCTTTTTTTTTCTTTTAGCTTACCTTCAATCTAATCAAGTCATGGGCTGGGGAGAGAAAGCCATTGAACTGCGCTCTGTGGAAACAGGAAATCTGGAAGGAGTATTTATGCACAAGAAAGCACAGAAGCTAAAATTCCTCTGTGAGAGAAATGACAAGGTACAGAGACAACTACAGTCAGATCACTTAGCAGAAATGAATAATAGCTATGACACTAAGACCAGTTAAATTTCGTAACTTGGTCCTCCACAGCTCCCCCAGCCTGGATGCTGGGAGTGGGGGTGGTTTTGGCATGGCCTCCCCCTCTCTCTCCCTCCCATCCTCTGCTCTGGGGAGGGGGACAGGAGGGAGAGGGGTGCCTCTGCCCTGGCTGGCTGCCTGCTCCTTGCTATTTAACATTTTTTTGAGGGAGGGGTCCAGTCTGGCACGTGCCAGCTCCAAATCCCCTGTCCCGGAGGGCTGGAGCA